CACGGTTTTGCTTCAGACGTGCTGGAGGCAGACGAAACGAGACGGGAAAGCAAGTAAAAACGAGTGAAAACGAGTAAAATCGAGACGGGAAAATGAGTGAAAACGAGACGGGGAAACGAGTGAAATGGGAGACTGGGTGTGTTTGTGTGTGTGGGGGGGGGGGGGGGGTGTTCGTGGGTGTGGGGAGAATGTGTGTGGGGGAGTGTGTTTTTGTGTGGGTGGGTGTAGGGAGAGTGTGTTTGTGTGTGTGTGTGGGGGGGGGGGGTCATGAGTGTGGAGAGAATGTGTTTGTGTGTGCGTCGGTTTGGGGAGAATGTGTGTTTGTGTGTGGGGTGGGGGGGTGTCATGGGTGTGGGGAGAGTGTGCGTCTGTGCGTTGGTTTGATGGTGGGTGTACGTGTGTGTGAAGGGGGGAGTATTTGCGTGCGTTGGTGTGGTTAGGTGGTGTGTGGGTGGGTGTATGTGTGTGTGTGTGTGTGGGGGGGGGGTAGACGGGGATGGATGGCGTGCGTGTGTTTGTATATATATGGTATTCGTCTTCCTGTTTAGATATTTGGCTTAGCTATGTGTAGAGGATAATTGCATAAACATACAATATATATCTAACAAGGGAATACATATTTACGCCACTGTACCCGTATATCTGTGATTCTTTTACACTTCTCTGAGACCTCCTTTCTACGTACCAATGACCCACACATCCACATAATATGTATTTGTGTTTATATAGATACGAACGCCATCTGTGACGGCTATGTGGGTGAGCCAAAGACTCCGTTAAATATTAAACGACGCCGGACTACCCAAACGGTCAATAGCCTTGTAACAGATCAATGGAAGTCTAATATACATGCACGGGACTACTTTGTCTACTGTGGTTGTTACCGCTGAGTTTTGCTTGCTGATTGCTGGGTGTTCCTCTTGCATTTCTTTTTCTTCTTTTTTTTCTTCCTCTTCTTCTTTTCTTCTTCTTCTTTCTCTTCTTCCCCTTCCTCTTCTCTTTATTCTCCTCCTCTTTGTTCTTCTCTTATTTCTTCTTTTTCTTCTTCCAATCATTATCATTATTATTATCCATCTTTTTGTCCTTTTATTTCTTCTTCTCCCCTTTCTTATTTTTCTTCTTTCTTTTTCTTTTCTTCTTTTCTTCTTCTTTCTTTTTTTTTTCTTTCGCTTTTTCTCTTTGTATTACTAGTATACCGTATACTAGTACAGAAGATGGTTTAATCATTAGTAAAATTGAATCATTGATATGTCATTGTCATCATCTTAATCATTAGCATTGTTATAATCATTATCATCCTTATCACTATTATCATTATCATCATGATCATTATTCTCATTATTATCATTATCACCATTATTGTCATCATTAGTATTTCATTACTATTATCCTTATTATCATTGTTATCATCATTATTATTATTATCATTATCATTATTATTATCATAAAGTACTTATGAATGTAACCGCTTTTATTATTGATATTCAAATG